GTATCGATCTGCGTGCTTTTTTTTTCGTTGGTCGTGACCAAGCGAAGCGCCATAGTGCTCATGAATTTCACGGTCTACGAAATTGTCGAGAGACGGATGCTCGAATTTATAGATCTCGATTTAACGAACTTGGTCGGATTCTGATTGGACAGGTGTCCAGAGATTTTTTTAAATTGTGCAGTAAGGAAATTTCTTATGAGAACGCAAAGATACCGACTGTCAGGCAATTGTAACGACTCGAAAACGAAGTTCATTCCTCTCGGACGATAGTTACAACACTAATTTTATTTAAAGGAAAATCTCTTCGTTCAGCCTTCTTCTCGCGCTATTTTTGGGGTTTCTACCAAATATGGTAGAAATATACCGGAGAGTAGATTTATCTGGGCATCAATATAGCGATATCATGTCACTGTCAACGTGACTGTCACATACTAATATAACGTCAATACAGTAAGTCTACCCTTATCGATCCTCACTTTCTCTCTTATCACTTCGAAAAAACGCAAACCTTCTTACGATACTATCTAATACTAGAGTGTCTTAAGTGTGTCTTGCTCACGTTTCCGTGATCGCGAAACAGCATAAATGGTGAAGCTGGATCCAGAACAGCTCGTGAAGACAGAGAGAGAGAGAGAGAGAGAGCGATCTACCTCTGGTCTGTGCCAGGCCTTTCGTTCCGTTTGGTTTTATTGGTGCAGCGGCAAGTGGTAGTAGTTGGCAGACAGGCGAGCAGCAGTTTCGTTTGCCGGCAAAGTAGAATCGCCAAGGGTCGCGCGCATACGCACAAAGCCATATGTCATGTCGGGCCGTTTAATGGCCTTTTAATACTACCTCACGAGCGGCACGTATCCCCACCCGCAAGGTGGCTCGATCGTACCTTTGAATAGGCGCCTCGAAGGTGCGTCTATAGAGGTGGGCCGACGCGGCCGGCATAGAAAGTCGTGCCGCGGCCACTCGGCAACTCTTGGGATTCCTCTGTGTCTGTGTCATCGGTTTGGCTCCGCAACCTCGTAAACTCTGGACATTAA